CGAGATCTACATTCTGATTGCTCGACTATAAATTAGTTGTTTTATTTTTGGATCAGTTATTCATCCCTAAACAACGTTCTTGTCGAGGGTGAACTAACCTACCGACATTCTTGTCGAAGGTGAACTAACAAGGGTTCGAGAGGAGGGTTTTGAGCTTTATATCGGCCATTATAACGAGGTAAAAAATAGGGTTTTTCTACGTAAGGAAAGTGTATGGGAGTGTTTATTTGGACGAAGTAATAGGGGAAAGGGAAATTACATGGAGGATCGATCCTCCTGATCCCGGATTTGAAGAAAAGAAGGGTTTTTTATAAAGGGTCGGTGTTGCCTCCCTTCCATACAAGTAGAGTAACGAGGTAAGGAGTGTTGGGCGAGGGTTCATTCGAATGGCACCGTGAATCATTTCAGATGCATGACGGAGATCCTTTCTCTAGCACCATTTTATTGACGTGCGTTTTTCGCTAACGAGTCACCGCGAGCGATGACCTTATAATTGTGCAGTATTTTAGTGTTTATTGACAAATTTTAACGTGTTAATAATGAAAAAATTGAAAAGAGACAAATCTTAAATTGTATTGGGGTGCCAAAACCGAAAATATTTATTGATGGAATGGGCAGCTCTCGTGCCTCTTTTCATATAGGAAACTTTCAAAGGTGTGGAAGAAAGTAGCAGGAAAATAATTGATCAGTAGTGAAGATCGAAGCTTGTGTATAGTGAAGATTTATTGATGGAAACTTGTGTATAGTGAAAGCTTAACTATAGTGAAGATCGAAGTAGAAAACTTTCATGTATAGTGAAGAAACTTTCATGGAAATTTTCATGAAAGCTTAACTATGAAGAAACTTGTGTATGGTGAAGATCGAAGTAGAAAACGATGATCTTCAACTCCTCCAGACCACTCTATTTAGAGGAAGCGTCATAATTTATTCAAATAATTTAGTTTGTATCTTTTATTTTACTTTTTCATTTTTTATACTTTATTATCTTATATTATATTATTTTTATTTTATTTTAACTGGTGTACTTTAATATAGTTTATATTTAAATTTAATTTTATCATTATTATCTTTTATTTTCAAATTTATAAAACTAGTTTTATTTCAATAAATAAGAAATAGATAAATATGTTTAAATTTAATTTAATTTTAATGCACTCTACTAAAATAATTTTATCTTACTTTATTTTAATTTATTTTTTTCATTTAATATATATAATTTGTTTTATTTTAAGTTTATATCTTATCAATATAATTTAATATAATCTACATTATCTTTAAAGTGTAATTTTATTTATTCATACGTAATGTCTATATATATTAAACGCTATTAAATTTAGCATACATTTAATTACTTGGTATGGTGGTTACATTGCCAATATGCAATCTCGAGGTCACAAGTTTTAAACTCCAACAATGTTTTATTTTTTATCGTCATGTCAGCAGCCATGTAAGCAGAAATCGCTATCGTCATGTCAGCAGCCATGTCAGCAGAAATCGCCATATCAGCAGCCTGTCAGCAACGACGTCAGCAGACAAGGCCCAAAATGGGCCTTGTGCATCGAATTGCCAACAATAGTCAAAGTAGTATATGTATTTGTCAACTATAAAAGTGGTGCATATAATTACAAATTCTGAAAATGTCGTGATTTTATAACTAACAATTAAGCCTTTAGAAAACTAATGTTGGTATTGCAAAATGACAGTACCAGGTTCGACGTTTTCTAATACTCATGCAATAGTATTTAGTACTCATTTTGTTGAACGAAAAAGTAATACTTGTACATCATTATAAGTTTAGTAAGCCGATACTTGTATTGCAAAATGACAGTACCGTATTTCGTTGGAGTTTGTCGGTGTTCGTCTTTCATTGGAGTTCGTTGTATCCTTTTAGTTATCAACTTATGATTGTCAATGAAATAGCTACCACCTTTGACCTTTTGTAAAGTATAAGAAACGACTAGTCATTAACATATAATGTAATATAATTCATATATCAAGCCTGAAACTTTAAACATAACAGAATTATCATAAAATTTAAATAAACTTACGAGGTGAAAATATCTTGATTATTCATTCCACCCCTCCACTAGCAACATGCTTCTTAGAACATTCTTCACCATATCTATCATATATGCCTCTCTTTTCTCCATCCGACAAAACTTCATAAGCTAAAAACATTGTACCATATAAAAGTTACAAGAGTCTGAATTGCCAAATACATCACCACTAACAATACCATTAATCCAAACTTATTAACACATACAAATAATCACTGTTCTAAAAATCGGCCTAGGCGGCCGCCTAGGCGGCGCCTAAGCGCTAGGCGGTGCCCGGGCGTCTCCGATTTGTACAAATCGGCAGAAAAAATCGGCCAGGCGGCTAGGCGGCGCCTAGGCGGGCCTAGGCGGCCCTAGGCGCTCCTAGGCGGGCTCGGCGGCCAGGCGGTTAGGCGGCGTCTAGGCGGGCGTAGGCGGACCTAGGCGGGCGTAGGCGGCAATTTTTCAGTTTTTTTTTTAATTTTTTTTATTTTTTTAAATACTAATTACATTATTTTGTTCTTATGTTTTCTTTAATATATATTAATATTATTATTTGGACTTTGGTGTGTGAATTTATTATATGTTGAGATAATTTTATTTTGTAGGTAGTTAAAATAAATAAAAAATAAGGTATTTACTATTGATTTCTGGGCCCCGACTAGGCGC